TTGAAAATGTGCCATGGATAATTTCTGGAGATTTTAATACAACTCTAAATTATGGTGAAAGGGTGAAGCCTAGTGGAGTTGTTTGGGGAGATACCTCTGAGCTCAAGGATTTTGTCAGTAGAATGGAGGTTTTTGACTTGCAATTTTCAGGTGCTTACTTCACTTGGAGTAATAAGCAAGGGGAAAATGACAGGCTGTGGTGCAAGCTGGACAGGGTAATGGCTAATACAACATGGGTTAGTGCATTCCCAAATACTTCTGTTGTCTTTCTAAATCCACAATCCTCAGATCACTCACCCTCTTTAGTGACTGTGGATGTATTGATGAATGAGAAACCAAGGCCATTTAGATTCTGCAATGCTTGGTCTAAGGATGACAACTTCCTTGATCTGGTTAGGGAAGCTTGGAGTGTGGATATACAGGGATGCCCTATGTTTGTTGTAGTGCAGAAATTGAAATTGGTAAAACAGAAGATGAAGCAGCTGCATAAAAATAGATATGGAAATTTGGAGGGAAGAATAAAAGATATGGCAGCAGAGCTACAAAATGTTCAAGCGTCCATGCAGAATGCTTTATTTGATGAGACTTTGGTTGCAAAGGAAAAGGAACTTCAACGTGAATTAACAAAGCTCGAGAGAGCAAATCTGTCCGTAATTGCCCAGCGAGCTAAAGTAACTTGGCTAAAGGAGATGGACTCTAATTCTGCTTATTTTCATGCTAAAGTAAAGGAGAGGCAGCATAGAAGTGTTATTAACTCCATCCTGAACTGTGAAGGAGTTAGAGTGACTCAACCTGAACTCATAGAACAAGAGTTTTTAATGTTCTATCAAAACTTGTTTGGAAAGGCAAAAGAAGGTGTTCAAGCAGTTGATATGAATGTTATCCGCAGGGGCAGAGTGTTAACTACTGAAGAGTCAGAAGAGTTATGCAGGCCATTTACTGCTAAGGAAGTGGAGATTGCCCTATTTTCAATTCCTTCAAACAAGTCTCCAGGGCCTGGTGGATTTACTTCAGGGTTCTATAGAGTAGCCTGGTCAATAATTAAAAATGATGTCACGGCTGCTGTGTTGGATTTTTTTGACAGTGGGAAAATCCTCAAGCAAATTAATGCCACCAATATTACTATTGTTCCGAAGGTGAGTTGCCCAAATGTTGTCAGTGATTATAGGCCAATAGCTTGTTGTAATGTCATCTACAAGGTGATATCAAAGCTCTTAACCCAGAGGATTAATGAAGTGTTGAGCATGCTAGTTAACAGTAATCAAATTGCATTTGTGAAGGGCAGATCTATAACGACAAATTTATTGATTTACCAAGATCTGGTGAGGAACTATCATAGAAGTAGGGGGCCAGCTAGATGCTTAATGAAAATTGATCTACAAAAAGCATATGATTCAGTGGATTGGGCTTTTGTTAATGCAATGTTAAGAGGGCTGAACTTCCCTGATAGATTTATTAACTGGCTTATGCTTTGTATTTCTACTACCAGATTTTCTGTATTGATAAACGGACAGCCAAAGGGTTATTTTCAGGGACAACGAGGGCTTCGACAAGGTGATCCAATCTCGCCTTATCTATTTGTGCTAGTGATGGAATATCTCACAAGGAAATTGAAGGAGTTAGATATGTAGGAGAAGTTTAAATATCATAGTAAGTGTTGAGTGATGCAAATTACGCACTTGATCTTTGCAAATGACATTATGCTGTTTTGTAAGGCTGATGAGGAGTCCACTGTTTTGATGATGCAAAAGTTTGAGGAGTTTGGCCGAGTCTCTGGGTTGGAAGTGAATAGAATGAAGAGTCAGGTTTTCTTCAGTGGTGTTAGAGAAGGACAGAAAGTTGCTTTAATTCAGAAGCTGGGTTTTGCTGAGGGACAGCTTCCAATTAGATATTTGGGGTTGCCATTGATTTCAAAAAAGCTGTCTCCTGGGGCATGTCAACCTATTATCGATAAAATTCATTAGAGAATTGGCTCTTGGGCAACGAAATTCCTTTCATATGCAGGTAGAGTTCAACTAGTTAACTCTGTTTTATTCCACATTCAAGTTTTTTGGAGTGGTGCTTTATTGATTCCTAAGAAAGTGTTAAAGCTAATTGATGTTGCTTGTAGAAATTTCATTTGGTGTGGTAAATGGAATTATAATGCAATGTCTCTTGTAGCATGGGATGATGTATGTGTGCCAAGGAAAGAAGGGGGACTAGGGGTGAAGCAATTGTTGCATTGGAATAAGGCAGCATTAGGCAAATTGGTTTGGAATATATGTCAACATCAAGAGTCGCTATGGGTTAAGTGGGCACAGGTGGTGCTGTTCAGGGGTGAAAATTTTTGGAAGGTTAAAATCCCAGCGGATTGTGCTTGGACATGGAGGCAAGTTTTAAAACTTCGTCCTCTACTGAAAAATATCATTTGGATGCAAGTGGGAGATGGAAGACAAGTTTCACTATTCTGTGATTGGTGGGCAGGTGAGTTAAGGTTCTGTGAGTTGATCTCAAAGGATAAGATTGCTGTTTGGGGCCATGACCTTACAGTTAGTGAGTGGTGGGATGGTTTAGATTGGACCATTCCAGATAGTTTTGTGAGAAGACATCCCATGCTTGTCCAGATTATTAGATGTCAAAAACTATCTCAACAAGTGGACAAGGCTATATGGAAACCTGCAAAGAATGGTTTGTTTACTATTTCAAGTTGCTATCAGTTCCTAAGAGTGAAACGCCCTAAGGTAGAATGGCATCATATTGTTTGGGCAGGGTGCATTTTCCCGCGACATAGATTCATCTTTTGGTTGGTATTGTGGGGTAGACTAAAAACTAGAGATTTACTAACAAGTAGAGGTATGAGAATTGAGAAAGGGTGCTACTTGTGTGGTAGATATGATGAAACGTGTGAGCACCTGTTTTTTGATTGTAGTTTTGCTAAAGAAGTGTGGAGGTTAGTCTTGGACTTCTTGAATATACACAGACAACCAAAAAGGTGGAGTGTTGAATGGCTATGGTTAAAAAAGGCATGTAAAGGCCGATCGACGCAGTCAAACAAGTTGAAGGCTGCGATAGCTGCCACTATATATATGATTGGCAAGAAAGAAATAGGAGAGTAACTCTTAGTAAGTTTTTGGTTGAAAAGGATGTATATAATGAAATAGTTAATTTTTTGAGACTGATGATCTGAAAGGTGTAATTCCCCAGGTATACCTGGGAGGAAATTGTACATGTCATCTAACGTCTAATGGAAAACTTGCCTTTTTTCCAAAAAAGAAATGTTTGTAAGTAAATCATTTTAAAATAAAATTGATAATTTATAATTATTTAAAA